CAATTCGAAAAATGAAACATTCTTGTTGAAGCTGTTTTCGAACCGTCAAAAATGTGCTATGCTTTCCTCAGTCGTCCGTCATGCTTTCTTGAATCGTTAGCTTGACTTTTTGTTGTGACGATGATACCTTGCTCTGATGATATTCTTTATATCACCTTTTCACCGGAATCGAGTGAGATTACCTCAGAAACAGCGTCCGCATGAATGTTCCAGTAAAGCCAATCGACAGCTGGTTAAGAGGAATTCGCCATCGTCTTCTGTTGGAATCGACCTTCGAATCTCTTAACCAAACATTTTCACTCGAAACCGAAATGAGCTCAACAATTATGCATAGCATGAGTCATCGCAGCCAAACCTTTCTTTGCATAAAAGTCAATTGTCAAGATTCCTCATAAATCCTGTCCCCTGTCGCTCGACCCTTACCCAATGATATAAGTAGGCTACCAGTCCTACGGCAGAGAATTATCTGCCATCATCTTCTGGCGGAATCAGCTTTCGAGGCTTTCCTCACACACTTTCGCTCGTAATGGAAGAAAGCTTAACAAATGTAAACCAACTTTTCCTCTTTCTTTTGCGTGAGCCAGGATTTGACCGTTGGAAATCGGTGCTTTCTGCTGTCTCGGCTACACCACTGGTAATATGAGACGTATTGACGCAATTCCGTTTAAGGTGAGGAAGGACTGGTAGAAGAATTTTCCCACATATCAACTCATATCATTGTGGAAAAATTCTTCTACCAGTCCTTCACCACCTTAAACGAAATTGGGTGAATACATCTCATACCACTGGTAATGACGCCAAGGAAAAAGCTCTATTTCTATTCAGAGTAATTATAGATACGAAGAGAAACTTGGTTTCGCTGAATCTCCTGAGATAACATTGTTAGGGGGACCTTCACTTCGGATGAAGCTGCAGTACAACGAGATTTATCCGTCCTCATCTGGTGAGATTCATCAACGAATCTCTTATTCATGCACTTTCATCCGAAATGAAGGTCCCTCTAACAGGGTAATTATGTTTTGAAACTACCAGAATATCTGAAATAAGGGTTTTATTCATCCTAGGTCGCATGGAGCGGTATGATGCAATATGAGTTAGCCTGAGGAGGCGATTCCTCCTAAAATGCATCCTAACCAAGACTGAATTGGGCTACGGTTTCAACCTTGTCTGGACCTTATCACACACAAATGGAACCCGAACCCGAGTAATGCAGCATTTAAATTAGTCAGTTAGCCAAGAGGAATCAGTTATCATCTTCTGATGGGATTCTCTTTTGAAGCTTTACATAAGAGACTTCCATTCATAATGGAAGTGGGTTCAGCAAGCGTACCTCAGGAGACGGCTAGAAAGCCGACTTTTCTTCGTTCCTGTATATGAATGAGAGTGTAAAGAGAGGAGATCGTTGGTGTCGTAGGCGCCAATATGCTACTTTATCATGTTTTCCGTTTAAACCAATGGTAATGTTGTCCGACAAAGGCTCTATTTCCCACATAACAAACGGACGTCGGCCTCGCCTAGCGCAGCGGGACTCGATCTATGGAATCTCGGACTTGAGGATGAAGGTCTGTCGTCTGCCTCACGTCTGGCGAAGCCAAAAAGGTGCATATTCTCCGACCCCATTGTGACCACATGAGGCGAGTTATGCACAGACGGGAGGGTAGAGGGAGGGGAGTGTGGGCCTGCTATGGATATCCCGAAAAGGGGGCAACTGAACTGATGGACGACTTGAGCCCAGGAAACCCTTAAAGGGCGAATTGGGCCGGCAAATGGCCAGCCAATGCGACTAGCACAGACAGAATATCCGAATCGAGGGTGGAGGCATGCTGGTCATCGTTATGGGCATGTGGCCCAGGCTGGCCGAGGAATCTGGGGTCCGGATCCGGATCTGGTTTAGGGGGTTAGTTGCTAACGCACAGCCCCTGAGCCACGTGCTCAACTGGCCTCCCTTGTTCTGCAAATGGTCGGACATGAGGAGCTTCGTGTCTGTTTCGCAACCGCGCGTCCACTGCTACCTCCAGCCCCCTGTGGTCACGTGGCCTTGTCTTAACTCCTGCCGAGCTGTACCTGTCAGAAGTTGCGTTAAAGTAGTGCCATCATATGCTGGCACTGGTTCGACCAGCCAGAATCCATGGCTGGCCGAAAGAGTGGTCTGGAGGCCAGCAACTGCGCGGTATCTCAGTCCGATAGGCTGACAGTTGGATTTGTAAGTTAACGGTCAATCTGACGGTTAGGTATGTTGGCCGGTTTTTTGTCTCGTGGCTTGGTGCGTATGTATCGGGTTGTCTAATAAAACCCTCATATTACGGTGGCAGACATTAACACAGACTGCACTTGGATATGCTTAGCAAACTCGCAAGACTAGGCTCCCCTCAACCCCTCGCCAGGCGTGAAGTGAGCCCGCGTAACCCTCTCGTCAGCAAATCCGGGTGCCAAGAGTTGAGTTTTCCCAAAATCAAAATTGTAAGCCTCCTAGTCGCATTAACACCCACAACCGAAATCGGAACTGAGCACTGCGGCATCCTCAAATCACAAAATTCCTATTGAAATATTGCCAACTATGTCAAAGACTACTTACGAAAAAATAAGTAACATCCTCGATTGCAATGGCAAATGCATATTTGCATGACCTACAATCACAAAATTTTAAAATGTGATTTTTGTGAGGTTTGGCCTACCTTGAATGTGGTAACAGCGCCATGATACTCATGATCCTGTATCTAATCTCTTAAGGGTAGCTGAATAGACCGAAGGTGGGTCGGAGCTGCAGTGCTTCCTGGATGATAAAGTCAACCGAGAGGCAAGGCTTTGTGAAAATTAATGGCATTGTGAGGCCTATCCACCTTTTTGTGTGAAAATTTGACTATTAGTCAGTGAAATCACCCCTAGAGGTGTAGAGTGATTAAGTTATAACTAAAAAATTACTGATAATCTCGAGAGCTACTTACGTGGAAATTTGATGAGACCAGCATAAAGCCTATTTGACCTCAAATATTTTCGTTGTCTGTTAGAGATATGAACTTCTCTATTCAAGAGAAAAGATAATAATATCGAATGACGGGATGTCCTTGAAAATACGCTAGTTGGAGCAGTATTTCGAAGCTTATCTGCTTCTTGATTGCTTGTGTCATGATTTTTGCTTTATCTTGCCATGCAATTGTGGTTGAACTGAACGCACCTACCGCCCATTCCTGAAAATATTCCCCAAGCGACGATACCTCCAATTTGCTTAAGGTCGACTTACTAGAATTGTAGAATTCCCAGTGAAGGGCTTCAATCAGAGACCACCATACAAATATCATATTTTTAATGAAAATTAGTTGTGTTTACGTCTGCGATGAACTGGGATAAATGCTCAATTTCACATAAACATGCGCCATTCATCCCAACAAACAATTCTCTCGAGGCTTTACTGCATTTTATACTTGGATTTATCATCATAAAAGCTAAATGAAATGGATTACCGAGTGGAGGCATCTATGAGTTTTAAACAATTCATCAAATGAAACAAATTAATTGCGCTCGTGGATGTGACGAAGATCCGGCGGAATATGGATCATTGCTAAGATGTCCATTTATTGTCCTTTGCGTCAAACCACTAATAATGCTACTATCTCATCTTAACTCAGCTTGCATTTATTATCATTTCCAATCCAGTTAACAATTTGGTATATAATTATTTCATTTAATCTAATTTTTCTACATATAATTTTGTTTAATTTACTCTCCTTTTCTTAACGATACTCATAGCTGCCTAAATCTTCTCATTCTCTGATTTTATTTCATTGTCAGATTTTTGTTGAGGCTAGTATAATTCCAGTCAATATTATCTTATATCACCTTATTTAATCCAATATACTCTAATATCATATTTTCTCACCACACTTCAAATTATCTACTCTCCTTTTATTCAAACTCATCTTACCTAATCTCCAAAGGTTTTATTTAATCTTTACTTGCTTCATCTCGTTTTATATAACATAATCTAATAGCAAATTTTTTTTCGCCTCGTATCATCGCATCATCTCTTCAAGCATCATTTCATCTTATCCATTATCGTCTCATTTAATCTTATTTATTCTCATCTCATCTACTGCAATCGAGTTAACTAAAATCTGTCCTTTATTAATATAGTTCAGACGTGATGCCAAACCGGTAAATAAAGTATTTATGCCCTGTTAAATTAATTTGCAGGGGCATACGCCTGGGACATCTTTGCTCCAGCAAACTAGGATACAGAGTTGTTCATTTGGGCAAAGTGGTAATATTAAGTGGTAATAAGAGCTGAATAAATAGTACTGAAAACCATAAAAAGGATGAAGGGTGATGCTACAATCACTGCATAGAAAAATGTTCACGTTGCTTATCACTTTAATGAGGTGTATGTCAGTAGTGAGGATGCAGACTACAAGGCTGTCGAAACTTTTGGGAATATGTTAAGTTGTTGGTCCGGTTCTGGAAATTGATCTGCTCATAATGGCAGGTGAGGCACGTATGTATACATTCCAAGAGGTCTCTATAAAATAACAGCCAAGTTGAGAAAACAAGTTAAAACCAGCCTCCTTCATCTAACATTACTTCGTTTACTTTTGTATTGATAGGCAACAGTTGCTAACATTATACGAAATCTGTCTATATTAATAGCATATTTTCGATGCAAATTTCGAGCCTACCAGTAATTCTTCTTTAAATTTATAGCATTCAAGATTCTGATAAGTGCAGACAACCGACTAATAGCAACACACAAGTAGCATATCCAGTTTAGTGGCAAATACGCCGTTGTCTATCGGAGCAAAGTTCTCAACTCAACGATGCTAGAGTTATCTGACTCTGAAAATAAAACGTTTAGGGTTCGACTCCCACCTGTGCGGAAATCAAGCATCCTCTTCAAATCATAATCAAAGTTCCCTATTATTCAGATAATACACAACTAAAAAAAGATACGCTTTTGATAGATGCGGTCATCAGCTTTCTATAAACTTAGCATCCATTAAGCCACAAACGGTAGCTTATAGTCACAAAAATTATTTCAAGTGCGCACTGAAAAGGTGATCTGTGTGAAAATATGAAGAAACGAGTAAATATAATCAAAATGAAGATATGTCCCCCTCTAGTGAGCCCGGAGTTGGAGAGCTCAACTTTACTCGACTGAACCAAAGGTTTTCAACCCACTTTCAAGTAATATTGTTGAATAGGAAAGAGTCGCCTTGGTTTCCTTAGAGTGATCTTTGATTTTTAGTCAAATTTTTTTCAATAAAAAGAGTACAAGATCTTTCATGGCCATTGTACTTTTCTGGATCTACCGGTAGTTTAGATGGCTACTTACTGAGTACACTGTCATAGAGTTTATTAAAATTTAATATACAAGTTTGTCTTTGTGACAGAAATAATACTGTGGTCTTGAAAAAGCCACATCTACACTGTGAGCCACTATAAATTTTGCATTCCATCAAGCCATTTATGATCCACAGACTGTCTTTAAACCTACCAACTACATACGTAGTTATGTGTGTGACTAGCAACACTCTTCACGATTGTGAATATGAATCAAGAGATATTGCCGTTAAGGTCACTTGCGATTTTAAACCGGCCATCAATCCTGGCTTTGTGGCCATGGGATTCAGAGTTGCAGGTCTGCACTCATGACCCAATTCCAAGACCAGTTGAAAGGGATGATGAGATCCAGATGATGATGAAACTTCTTTCCAGCTTGGAAAAGTAATCAGTTTTTGGGGAAATGGTAAGAAAAAGATATTAAGTCCTAGTGAAGCCTTATCCTCATTCTACTGTGGATAATCATAAAAGGCTATCTCTTCTACATTTATTTTAAAATCTTTACCTCCGTCGAGCGAAGAGTTTTATTCGCAGGTCTGTGTGTGACTAGAGTGATCCACTCATTTCGAATAAGATGATCAACCTCATTAAGTACGTTTCCCGTTCACCCATTTGTCATGCAAGTAACAATTTAGGAAGACCTACCTCAATCCAGAAGGCCTAGTATTTCTAAAGCCTTCATTGTAATTGGGCTCCTTATTTTTTTATCTTTATTTGCCCGAACGTGAAGCTATATGAAGAGGAGGTCGATTTGAGGATAGTTCTTGTTAGTCTATTTGTATGGAATGAGATGTATTCACCCTATTTCGTCTAAGCTGATGAAGGACTGGTAGTAGAATTTTCCCACAATCATA